TTCTACGAGCGACTCACCCTTCAAACGTACCTAGCCAACTTGCACGAGAATCAGGACCCCACAGGTGGTTTTCGTGGTGACCGAGCCTTCGCCTCAGCAGCGGACGAAGCAGACTGGGATGAACAGAACGTCGACAACGCATCGGAAGAAACCGGACCTCTCCCGTACTGCTCCGTCGACGTGCCCATGGACGAAGACAATCCTCTCGACAGTGTCAACGCCGAAGTCTTCTATCACTTCGCCGACAACGGTTACGTAACACCTGCGACAGTCAACACAAACGAAGCAGAACGGATAGGGCCAAATATCATACCCGATCCAGAAGCGGGAGACGAAGCAGCTTATCCCGAGGATCCAACACTCCCCCGATACTCTCAGACTGGGCTGCAAATCCTCGGCCTCGTCACCGCAGTCCACGGCAACGCACTTTCTAAGGAGCCTGCGACGGTTCAGCAGGCTCTGGGGGGGGAACACAGGGAGAAATGGCGCGAAGCCATGGACAGAGAGTTAAAGGCACTGGAGGAACGCAACACTTGGAAGGTCGTTCCCGCAAGCGTGGCAAGGAACAAGACCATTCTCACCGGGAAATGGGTCTTCCGCATCAAAACGAAAGCAGACGGCACAATCGAGAAGTTCAAAGCACGTTGGGTCGTGCGTGGATTCGACCAAGAGCAAGGACGAGACTTCACCGAGACATTCGCCCCTGTTAGTCGACATACCTCTCTTCGTATTATTCTCGCCGTTGCCGCCATGAAGAAGAAGAAACTGCGACAAATCGATGTCGCCAACGCATTTCTCTACGCACCCGTCGACGCCGAAATCTTCGTCGAACTCCCACACGGTACCCACGGAAACCCCAATCAGGTCTGCCAGCTACTGAAATCGCTCTACGGAATCAAACAAGCCCCGCGGCTGTGGCAACAGCACCTACACACCCGACTCACTCGCATCGAATTCCGCTAACTGCCGCACGACCAAGGAATGTATCGATTCACTAAAGACGCCGATTACATCCTACTGATCGTCTACGTCGACGACCTACTCTACATCGGCTCCACCGACGACATCACCACCTGGTTCGAAGGGGAGCTGCAGAAGGACCTCACGCTCACGGTTTCTTCTACCGTCACCCAGTACCTCGGGCTCAACATCCGCGAAGAAGAAAATGCTATCTACTTAAGCGCCGAAAAATACGCCGACACTATCGCGAAGCGCTTCTCGCTCACACCTACCGCTATCGCCACGCCATACCGCTACACGGCAGGAAGTAACAAAGGAAATTCCGCTCCACTCAAAGCTGCCGGAATACGAGACTACCAGAGGAAATTGGGCTGCCTCCTCTTCGCAGCCGTCACCTGCCGCCCGGATCTATCCTACTCCGCAAGCCAACTCGCTACCTACCTCAAGAAACCCGAAGCAGAGCACCTGGCGGAGCTCGATCGCGCACTACACTACTTCGTGAGCACTCCGACGATCGGCCTGACTTACTACAAAAGCGAAACTACGACCATGAAACTAATCGGCTACGTCGATGCCGATCATGCCGGCGATTCCGACGATAGGCGCTCTCGCACTGGCTACGTCTATCGTCTCGAGCCTATCGGACGTATCTCCTGGCAGTCGAGCAAGCAGGAACTAATCGCTCTCTCTTCAGCTGAAGCAGAATATATCGCCCTCTGCTCAGCCACCAAGGAAGGACTCTACATTCGCGAGCTGTTGGAAGAAGCAAAGTTAGCCGAGTTACCCAACTTCACCCTATTCTACGACAACCAATCTGCAATTCGCATCGCCAACAAAAGCGGATTCGCGAACAGAACGAAGCATATCGGTCTGCGATACTTCTTCGTGAAAGACGAGATCGAGAAAGGGAAACTCGAATTATCCTACTGTCCCACGTCCGAGATGGCAGCCGATTACTTGACCAAGAAACTCGGAAAACAGAAGTTCGAGTACTGCATGCTGCTGACTGGACAAGGCCACGTCACCATTAGCGACACTCCAGAAGTGAAGGGGAGTGTTGGGAACAATAAGTCTTAAAGCGCCTCTGTCGTGTCGAAACTCAGGACACAAGCGAAGAAGTCCAAATCGAAGCATCGCGAGTCAACCCTCGGAGGTTAGTATAACCGCGTGGAGGTTATGCGAAGGTCAAAAGTCAGCGACCTTTGACTTGACAAATACAGCGCGACAGCAAGGACACACAACTGACTCGACATTGAGCAGTTGCCCGAATCGCACTGTATTGAATCGCAACAGCAAAACAGTTTAATTATATCTATTCGTATTCCTTGTACTCTTATATAAAGCCTTGTATTTGCTTGTTTTAATCAACCCACTTTGCCCTCACATACTAGCGCAAGGTGGTTCAAGGACTTTTCATTCAAACGCTTCCGCTATTACAATCCTACTCAGAATTTAACTCTACAAAGATCATAGGGCATCTCAGCCCAACAAGCGGGAGGTGGGATAGCGGGATATCCAGGCCATAAAATGCAAGATTTAACTGCATTTGAGGAATCAAAATGCATTCGAAAATAGTCGGTGTCCATTGCATACGAGTGTCGGTGGGCATGTGGGTGCAATGCGTGAGCTGCCAAGCTGGACACACATATATGCACTTTTGGGGTATGTATATGTTTGGACATCCCAGTAAGGCGATTAAGACACGCAATGGCGCCAGCTGTGAGTCGTCCAAACCGCAACCTCCACTGGGTGCAGACATGCAGAAATATAGAATGAGTTAATGAAAACTTATATAGTTGAAGGTACAACAACAGGTGTGTTTGTTGAAGTCCATGTCGAGAACCAAATGTGCTGGATCCGTGCGCAACTGAAAATGAAAAATGTGCTGGCACCCCGCAAGGCGCGCGTGTGCGGTGCCACGACATTGATGGGGTTCCGCCATGGCTCATCATGATCCCACCCATGGCCTAAAGTCCACAACTCGACCAATCTCATTGACCAATGGTAGGCCACGCAGCAGTGTGTGTAGCATCATATGGTCCGCCTGCAACCCGTCAAAGTCAGGCCTCCCCTCCCCTCCTCCCTTCCGCCCTTCAGCTTCCCCAACGCCCTTTCCCGCCGCTTCCCCACGCCAGGCTCTTTCCGCCAACCAATCGCCACAGCAAGCTGTCGCTGTCTTTTTTGTAACTAGCCATTTTGACCCGCAATCCTTTTCGCCAAACTACACCACCTCAAACCGCACAAATTGCCATATTTATTTGTTCAATTCATCGGAAATTCCACAAGATTCCCTTTCCCCCGAACTTCCTCCCTCGACATGTCCGCCCTCCGCCTTTCCGCGTTCCGCGCACGTCCTTCGTGTACGCATTGCCCGTCTCCGCTTCTTCCCCTTCCCCCTCCATCCGCGCCTGTTACTGCGAGTACAGTATTTCCCCCCTTCCTTTCTGCCCTAACCTTCATCAATAGCAACTCTTCCCACTCACACCACCAGCCTCGCCCTCCCCTCCCCACCTCCCCCACTCAAATGTTTCTGAACCTAGACAGGGTCCAAGCTCGAGGCTACTTCGTGAGTGCTTGGTTCTCGTCACTCAGCCCAGCATCATACGTTATCAACGCCTTTCCAGCCCACGAGAGACGGTCACGTGCGCTTGACAAGGCATGGACAGGGGCCACGGCTCATTACGTCGGCCGTAGTTAGGTTCAAGAGCTGCGTGTGCATTCGCGCGTCCGATCGCATTACGCGAGTGAATGAGCGTGGATCGATAGATCATAGCACAACTTAATAGTGCATTTCCGTTAGCTGAGAGGTGCAGGTGCTATCTAAGCAGGTGTTTGCTTTCGTCGATTGGATCGATTTTATCCAACCCTAACACGTCAATAGCTTTCATAGTCAGCCTCATCTTATGATCGCTACCAGACATTAGGGCTTCTACAGAAACATTTCCTCCGCACGTGATTTCTCGGTGTCACGAACCCTAATATTCAAGAGTTTACATTTCCCGCTGATCCTTATCGCCCCCTGAAGCACATTCAAGCACTTGGATACCGCATCGCCAACAATCCTGTCATTGGCGAAGAAGCAGCGACCCCATCGTCAACATTTCTGTCATTGGCGAAGAAACAGCGCGCATACGAGAAGGCAACGCAGCTTTCTAAGCAGCAGCTTGCCTGTCGAAGTGCCTTGCGAGGCGCGAGCAGCAGCACGCGCTGAAAACCAAAGAGCGACCGCAGAGGATCGTACAGCGAGCCGTGATTTGCGCCGCCCGTGGAGCTTATTGCAACGACGAAATCTTCTGTCAGCGGCGATAGCGGCAGGCCTGCATGGTGCCGGGGCCGTGTGACCAATTCCTCGGCTGCCTCTCCCCCCATGGGCTCTACCGCCATCTCGGTACGTCGTATTGGCAGCTACGTCGTATTTATCGGTACGGTAGTGGATCGGTACGTCAGTGAGCGCTCTCGGTACGTCCTCGTCCTCTTAATGTTCTCTCCCTCACAAACCCCCTCTCGTTCTTCCCCACGGAGATCCGTGAGCTTGTTTCACCTGGCAATTTGAAAATGGGGGAAAAAAAAATTGCCGTCTCGGCGATCGTCGCCCTTTTGCCTTGCCCTTCCCTGTGTGTCCGTCCCGCGTCATGTGTCAGGACAATCTGAAACCCGATCACCAACATCTACCAGAGCAAGGATCTGAATCCCAAACACCTCCGATAGGCCCGACAAGCCCTACAGGCCTTCCTGGCGGCCTGCCCGTCGATAGGGACCATCTACCGTTTCCGCCGTTCCCGCCTTTCCCGCCGTTTCCATAATTCTACGTCGATTCCGGATTTATTTCGATCCCGGGGCGCGGTGATAAGATAACTCGCGGACCGGAAGTATCCAGTAACGCCGTTTTTCGCTGGTGGCCTTCTCGGGATCGGCACGCGAGAGAGGGCGGCGACGACGAGAGAGTTACTTTCGCGAAAAGGGGCGGAGATATTTTTATTATTTGCAGGGGGTATATTTCTGAGGCGCCTGAATAAGGAGGTCCAGGAGATTGAAGCGGTATGGAAGCGAAGCTCCGCGCGTTGCAGGGGCAGGGGAGCGTGGCCACTCCTTCCCCGTCGCACGGCACTAACCGCATTGCACCGTTTTCTTTTTTGGGTGGGTGGAGCGTGGTGAAATCGGATCGGAGGGTGGCACGCGTCAGAGAGTCGCACGAGATACAGTCGCACGATAGATTCGCATGAGATAGAGTCGCGCGAAGCAGGGCGTCGCACGCGGCAGAGGCATGTGAGCAGCGCTGCATAGCCCAACCAGGGCAGGGCAAGGCCAAGGAGTGGGTTGCATGGGGCACACGCATGGGGCGCGGATGGTTGGAAACGGGCCTTGATTTGAGGATGTGAGGATGTGAAGATGCGAGGACGAGAGGATGGGAACGTAAGGTTGGGAGGTAGGCCAGGTTATACACGCTACTAGCTGCTTGGGTCAAAAGCACCTGCAGAGCCCCTTTTCCACTGCTGAGCTGCCCCTTGCCGCATGGCCTTTCGTGCCATAGTAGAGTTCTCTCTCTCTCTCTCTCTCTCTCTCTCTCTCTCTCTCTCTCTCTCTCTCTCTCTCTCTCTCTTCTCTCTCTCTCTCTCTCTTCTCTCTCTCTCTCTCTCTCTCTCTCTCTCTCTCTCTCTCTCTCTCTCTCTCTCTCTCTCTCTCTCTCTCTCTCTCTCTCTCTCTTTCTCGCTCTCTCTCCGTAATCATGCAGCGCAATTCTCTTTCTGCATGTCGTTGTGTGGATGTCTCACGGACCGCATGATAGTTGGCCATCATTGCGTGCACCTGCCTGAACCTCTCAGCCTCTCAACCTCTCATCCTCTCAGCCTCTCAACCCCTCAGCGCCGGAATCTCTCTCCCCTCGGCTTGTTGTGCTTGGCATAACGTGCCATGCAACCTGCCAGTTTATCATGCTCACGCTGCGCACGTCTGTGTGGTGGTGTGTGGCGGTGCCTGGCATGGCAGTGTGTGGTGGTGTCTGGGAATGTGTGCCGGTGTGTGTGCTGGTTTGTGCCAGTGTGTACGGTGCATGGTGGCGGTTCATCAACGAATGTGCTGGTGAAATGCCTTCCCTCCCCCTTCCCCTCCCGTTCCCCCTCCCCCTTCCCCTCCCGTTCCCCCTCCCCATCCCCCTCGCCCTCCCCATCCCCCTCTCTCTCGCCCCCCTCCTCCTCTCCTGCAGGTGGGTTTAAGGGGAGGCCGTCGCGAGGGCAGGACAGCGACAGCGACAGTGCGTTGCAGCAGCGGCTGGTCACGGGATACGATGATGACGGCATGATATGGAACTGCCCTATAGCCTCGCACCCTTCGGGTATGTGTCAGCAGCAGGGTGATTTGCCTAGTCGCGAGGGCAGGGGCAGGCGAGGAAGGGGAGGGCCGGGGCGGGGGCAGGGGGGAGGGCAGGGGCGGGGCAGGACAGCGACAGCGACAGTGCGTTGCAGCAGCGGCTGGTCACGGGATACGATGATGACGGCATGATATGGAACTGCCCCATTGCCTCGCACTCGTCAGGCCCGTCCTCACCAGCAGGATGACCGCTGAGTAGGCCCGTCCTTAAGCCTACTACAAGCACGCAGCTCACTGAGACTTGTTTGAATCGCACCCGTCAGGCCCGTCCTCACCAGCAGGATGACTGACCGCTGAGTAGGTAGACTCAGAAGGACTGTCTTTGTTTTCAGGCAAGTGCCATGTCTGCCTAAGGCAGGGAGGTTCTTTCTTGCCTTAGGAGTCAGCTTGACATGGAACTGCCCCATCGCCTCGCACCCTTCGGGCACATGAGTCATCAGATTCTCTTCCCCCCTCTTCCCCTTCTTCCCCCCCGCCCCTTTCTCCCCCACGTTCACCAGGCGAGCTGTCAATGGCGGCGGTGGAGGGCAAACGTGGCGTGCGAGGCCGTGGCGAGGGTGGACGCGAACGCGCTGCTCCCGCTTATCCTCGTCTCCCCTGACCATCCCCTCACTCAACTTCCCCCCTCTGCTCCCCTCTGCGCTTCCCCCACCTCTCTGCTTCCTTTTCTCTCCCGCTGCCCCCGTCTTCTCCCTGCTGCTCCCCACTCCCCCGCCTCTTTCTCCCCCGCCTCTTTCTCCCCCGCCTCTTTCTCCCCCGCCTCTTTCTCCCCCGCCTCTTTCTCCCCCGCCTCTTTCTCCCCTGCCTCGTTCTCCCCCGCGTGCTGTCGCTCACCAGGCGAGCTGTCAATGGCGGCGGTAGAAGGCAACGTGGCGTGTGAGGACGTGGCGAGGGTGGACGCGAACGTGCTGGGAACGTTCGTGGGGATATTCGACGGGCATGGGGGCGCGCAGTCCGCTCGGTTCAGCGGGGACCACCTGCTGCCCGACCTGCAAGGTGCGCTGGGGGAAAGGAAGCGAAGGGGAGGGGGAGAGGGAAGGGTGGCGGTACGGGGGATTGGGAGGGGAAGAGCTGGGGGGAGGGGGAGGGGTTTGAGAAGTGGGAAGAGGGTAGGGTTGGTAGAAGTTTGATCTGGGGGGAAGAGGAAAGGGAAAGAGGGGGTAAGCGGAGGGGGAGGTGGAAGGGAAGGGAAGGGGAGGGGAAGGGGTGTGCTTGGGCAGGTTTGGGTTTGGGGGTTGATGGGGATAATGAATGGATACGGTGGGTGAGGAAGTGCTGGTGGTGAATGAGTGTTGTGGCAGGGCGACTGACTGACAGCACATGTGCTGCCAGTGCTCTCTCTTCTCTCTCACTCGTTCCTCCACCCAGGAGCGTTGGTGGACGAGTGTTGTGGCAGGGCGACTGACTGACAGCACATGTGCTGCCAGGCCAGCACTGCGTGAGCCTTCTCCTCTGCTCATCTCACCTTCCCCTTTCCTCACTTCCCCTTTCTCCGCCGCCCCTGCCTCCCCCTTTTCCCTTCCTTTCTCCCTTCCGCCTGCCTCTCGCCTCGTTTCTTCCTTCTTCCCCATGCCTCCCCCCATCCCTCCCCCTATTCCTTCCCCCCAATCCTTCCCCCCATTCCTTCCTGCGTCCGTCCCTCCCCTCACCCCTCCCCCCCATCCCTCCGTCCAGGCGCGTTGGTGGAGGAGTAGCGCCATTGACACCACATGTGTGGCCAGCACTCACTCGTCTCTCTCTCACCTTTCCTCACTTTCCCTTTCTCCGCTGTCCCCCATTCTTCCATCCAGGCGCGTTGGTGGACGAGTGATGTGGCAGGGCGGCAGACAGCACATGTGCTGCCACCACCGCTAGAGCCCTCTCCTCTGCTGCTGTCACATTTCCTTACTGTTATCTTTCTCTCTCCTTCCACCTACTCCCTTCTCCCTCCTCCTGCATGTCAACCTGCCCCTCGCCTTGCTTCGTCTTTCTTTCCCATCCCTCCCCTCATCCCTCCCCCCATCCCTCCCCCCATCTCTCCCCTCATCCCTCCCCCCATCCCTCCCCCCATCTCTCCCCTCATCCCTCCCCAACACCACTCCATCCAGGCGCGTTGGTGGACGAGTGCTGTGGCAGGGCGGCAGACAGCACATGTGCTGCCACCACCGCTAGAGCCCTCTCCTCTGCTGCTGCTGCCGCTGCTGCTGCTCATGCACATGCATCCGCCACCGCTGGTGGTGGTGGGGGCGATGGTGGTGGAGGGACTGGTGGAGGAGGAGGAGAGAGTGGGAAGAGTGGAGATGCGAAGGGGGAAACGGGAGGAGGAGGGGGGGGAGGGGAGGGGGTAGAAGGGAAGCAACAGCAACAGCAGCAGCTAAGCTCGGGCCAAAGCAAACCGGATAAGCTGCTCCATGTGCCCCCACACGTGCCCTCCCGCCTCCCCCATCTCTCTCAAGACCAGCTCATCTCAGCCGTCCATCACAGCTTCAACCAGATCGAATCCAAATTCCTGGAGATCGTACGGTGCAAATGGCGCCAGGTGCCGCAATACGCAGCAGTAGGCACATGCGCGCTAGTAGCATTCATCCCCCCACAGGGGTCGGTTCTAGTGGTGGCGTCGCTAGGGGATTCGCGTGCGGTGGTGGGGGTGAGGAGAGGGGTGATGGGGGTGGTACGGCCGCTGGTGGTTTCGACAGAACACAATGCGAATTCGGCGGATGAGAGAGCAGCGGTGCAGCGGTTACATCCTGAGGATAAGGGAATTGTGGTGCAGAGGAGTGGAGTGTGGCGCGTGAAAGGGATTATCCAGGTATGTGGGAAGGGGAGGGGGGAAGGGGAGGGGAGAACGGGTGGGAGGGTGGGGATGGATGCGTGTTAGGGTGGACGGGTGGGGGAAGGAAGGAATGGAGGAACGGGGGATAGATAAGGAGGAATGGAGGGAATGATGTGGGGGACACATGCTTTTTTCGGGCTACTATGGCCTCAATCCTTGCTTCTATCACCTTTCGTGGTTCCCAATAGCGTTCTTTTACGTTAGCTATTCACCAACACATCGAGCCCTGCACCCATGCATCCATGCACCCATGCACCCATCCCCCCATGCACCCATGCACCCATGCACTCATGGGACTCGCCCCCTGGGCTATTTCTATCTCAAGCACGACAAGTTCCAGCATGATCCTCTCTACACCCATCACCCAATCGAACCACTCACCGTCTTTCCCTCCCTCCCCTCCACCCCTTCCCTCCCATTCATAGGTGACTCGCTCCCTGGGAGACTTTTATCTAAAGCACAACGAGTTTCAGCACGACGCTCTCTACGCGCGCTTCCGCCCAGCCAGACCACTCCCCGTCTCCCCCAACACCCACGCATTGCCACCTTCCCCCCCCCCCCCCCCCCCCCAGGTGGTGACTCGTTCCCTGGGCGACTTATATCCCAAGCACAACGAGTTTCAGCGCTACCCTCTCAGCACCCGTTCACACCCATCCAAACCACTTCGCATCCAACCTTCTTCTTCCCCCCCTTCCCCGCCCCCCAGGTCACTCGCTCCCTGTGCGATTTCTATCTGAAGCACAACGAGTTTCAGCGCGCCCCTCACTACGCGCGCTTCCGTTTCACCACGACTCTCTCTCATCCCCCTCTGCTGCTCTCCTCCGATCCAACCAGGTCACACGCTCTCTGGGAGACTTTTATCTGAAGCACAACGAGTTTCAGCGCGACCCTCTCTACGCGCGCTTCCGCCTCGACCGCCCGCTGCGCCGCCCAGCTCTGCTGGCAGAGCCGGCAGTGGAGGTGCTGCAGCTGGCGCCGGCCCACCGCTTCCTCGTGATGGCCACTGATGGACTGTGGGAGCATGTCAGCGATAGTGAAGCGGTGAAGCTGGTTCACTCCAAGCCCCGATCGGTGAGTTGGGGAATGATTCGGGAGTGAAAGAGGAGAGCCGGCAGGGCAGTGGAGGTGCTGCAGCTGGCGCCGGCACACCGCTTCCTGGTGATGGCCACTGATGGGCTGTGGGAGCATGTCAGCGACTCTGAGGCTGTCAAGCTCGTTCACTCCAACCCGCGATCGGTGAGTCTGAGTGGTGGGGAGGAGTGAGGAGGGGTGGTTGGGAGCAGCAGGGATGGGAGTGTTAGTGGGGAACGGGGAAGGGTAGATGTGTGTGTGTGCTGCACTGCCGGCATTCATTGCTGGCAGAGCCGGGAGCCGGCAGTGGAGGTGCTGCAGCCGGCGCCGGCACACCACTTCCTGGTGATGGCCACTGATGGGCTGGCGCTGGCTGCAGCACCTCCACAAGCCACTGATGGGCTGTGGGAGCATGTGAGCGATAGCGAGGCGGTGAAGCTGGTGCACTGCAAGCCGAGATCGGTGCGCGGGGGAGAGAAGAGGGGAGCGGTGGGATGCGGTGGGGAGCGTCGTGACCACAGGGGGGGGAGTGGGAGTGAGAGCCGGGGTGAGGATGGGTTTCGGTTGAAGGGATGTTTTGTAGGTGTTTAACTAGTCCCCCCACCCACCCACCTCTCCAACTTCCACCTCTCCACCCCCCAACTCTCCATCCCCCTCCTTTCCACACCCCATCCTCCTCTCCATTCCCACCCCTCTCTGCCCCCTGACCGCCCGCTCTGCTCACTCCCTACCCTACCAACGCGAGGCGAGTCATTTCTTCGGCAGCGACAACCCCTACTCACCATATGGGCAGTGACAGCGATGCAGTCGTTTTTCCTACTCCAACCCCTTCTTCCTCTGTCCCTTACACTGCCCTCTCTGCTCACACCCCTCTACCCTCTCTGCTCCCTTCCTGCTGCCCTCTCTGCTCCCTCCCCACTGCCCTCTCTGCTCACTTGCCAACCAGGGAGTAGCACGGCAGCTGCTGCGATTGGCAATCACGCGTGCAGCACGCAAGCTCGGCCTCTCTCTCCCGGAGCTCAAAATGCTGGATTCCAAGCAGCACCACATGATGCATGCATGATGATAATACTGTTGTCGTGCTCCTCCCGTCCTCTCCCCCCCCTTGTCCCACCCCACCAGGGAGTAGCACGGCAGCTAGTGCGGCTGGCAATCACGCGTGCAGCACGCAAGCTCGGCCTCTCTCTCCCGGAGCTCAAAATGCTGGATCCCAAGCAGCGGCGCATGGTACATGATGACATCACCGTTGTCGTCCTCTTCCTCGACGCTCACCGGAGGGCGGACGGGGGGAAGCCAGGGGGAGGGAGAGGTGGGGGAGGGGGAGCGGGCGCGGGAGGGGGAGAGCCGGGAGCTTGTGGGCTGGTGGGGGGGGGGAGGAGGTTGAGTGAGAATGGAGAGGCGAGTGGGAGTGGGAATGTGGGGGGGGTGGCTGGTGGTGCAGCCGGTGCAGCTGCTGGCGCTGCTGCTGGTGCTGGTGCTGGTGCTGGCGGTGGTGGTGGTTCGAGTGATGGAAGTGGGGGGTTCCTGGGAGTGGCAGGGGGAATGACTCTTCGCAGCTATGAAGATGTTGACGTGCCCGCGTTCTCTCAACCAGGCCTTGAGAAGGGTTAGAGTCCTGTGGTGTCCCATGACACGCCGGCATGTGGGCTGGTGTGAGTGGATGTGAGTGGGTGTTGCGGCATGAACAGTGTTTGTCGGGGTGGGGGGGGAGTGCACGTGGTGGTGAGATAGGATGGCATGAGGAAGGGGGTGGGTACTGTAGATGGAGGAAGAAGGGGCAGCGCAGATGCTGCATGGAGATTAGTTGCTGGTGATGTAGCTGGCTCTGCTGGTGATGTGCTGCTGCTGCTGAGCTGAGCCGAGGCAAGGATTTTTCTGTACTGTACCGTATTTTTTCCCTGGAGTCCTAGACTTCCCTGTAGAACTGTGCAGTTCTGTAGCTGTCTGGCAGTAACCCATGTGGCCAGTGTGAGATGAGACCCATGTTAAACACTAGGCCAGATATCACCTCAGGTTGTTGTAGAGGTGTAGAAGTACTGGTACAGTAGTTACGGTATGGTAAGCTATGCTATTACTTGCACACTTGATTATACCAGGAATAAGGACGCAGTGGTGTACCCATCCCTCTATAACAGTATGCTGTTCAATTTTGAGAGAGCTTGCAATAGCAGTATCTAAGGGTGCATTCCTGGTTGGTGGCAGGGCAACTGTTCACATCGAGTTGGTGGCAAGTGTACCCAAAAATTCAGTGGGCCGGAAAATGCGCTTGCCACCAACAGTTGCCCTGCCACCAACTCAGGAATGCACCCTAATTGTCCAGCAACACCCTCCACCATCTTTTCTGCCTGGATGACGCACCGGGTCTTAAAGCCTTGTTTGGTAGGCACCCAAGTTTGACTGAGGATAGATGTGGGCAGCTTCCCTAGACCGAATGTGATCATGTTGAAGTCTCTTAAAGCTCGCGGCCCAAATTGCGGGCCGCGTTGGCCAAGCTTACTAAGGTCGACGGGGGTGATGTTTTGAGTGCTGTTTGGGTTGCGAAGGGTGGTTACGAGAAGTGAGATGCAATCTGATTGGCCAGATATTTTTTGTCTAATGGGAGAGCAGGGAACAACAACATTATGTTGATTGCAATTTGGGACTCTCGAAGCAAACCCAGGTTGCTCCCAGGGGTTTGGCATGTCAACGAAAACCCCAAGGGTCTAGCGCGAAATTGGGCGAAAGCAAACAGCCCAACTCCCAACAATTCAACTTCTTCTCCCGCCACCCAAGGGTCAACCTTGTTACGGTAAGGTTGAACAACTAGGGCCGCGAGCTTTAAATCGTTCTAACAACGTTGAGTTTGTTCAGTGTAAAGTTGGCAAAACTCGGGGCAACTTGGCCTGAGGAAGCCATGGAGGATATTCTCCCTGGGCAAATCTCACTCCGACTTTTTCTCCAGTAGGCAGTTGTTATGCAGTGGTAAAAGAGACAATGGCGCGAAATTTCTCGCGCTTTGCCTCAAAGACGCTTGAAGTAAATGTGAATAGTCATAGCCAGGAAGCTATCTAACTAATGTGGCCACTGCATCCAAATGTTACTGGTACTCATGATACTGCCATTACCCTCAGGGTGTCACCAGCGATAAATTTACTGGTTTACAAAACGGACCACTAATCTATCTGCATGGACGGAGCATACCGTATGCAGACTCCGTATCAAAACATAACCGGTTCATGGTGGGTCTCAATTACATACACGCGTCGAAAATTTCTCAGACGCTTTGCAAAATTTAGTGTGAAGAATCTCTACAGCTGGCCGCAGTCGGCAATAACAACAGGCTTCTTGGTTGCACCCTGGTAGCACAGGAGAAAGCAATCAATGTGGGCAAGGAGAGCAAGACGGCAGCGGGTAAGTCGAGAACGGGCAACAATGAGCGCTGCACGACGTTTGCCGTAACGAGAAAATTCAACGAGCTAGACGCGCACATTAGACAGGAAAGGCCGTGCGGCGTGAAGGTTGGATGGGAGGGCGACATCAATGGTCGGGGGAAAAACGCTGATCAGGGGTAGGAGGGAGATCTCACCGACTGGGAGCCAACGGCCTCGATCTTCTTCACTACATCCATGCCCTGCACGACTTGTCCGAAGACCACGTGCTTGCCGTCCAGCCACGCGGTCTTCTCGGTGCAGAGGAAGAACTGCGACGACACAAAACGGAAGGAGAAGTGAGGTTAATCAGAAAAAAAGCACACAAAGCCTATGCAATGGGTCAGCGGAAAAGATTGAGCTGGTACCTGAGATCCGTTAGTGTTGGGTCCGGCATTAGCCATAGAGAGCACACCAGGGCCAGAGTGCTTCTTGATAAAGTTCTCATCAGCAAACTTGGCTCCGTAGATGCTCTCACCACCAGTTCCGTTTCCGCGAGTAAAGTCGCCACCCTAAAAAGGAAGAGAGTAGACAACCGACTTATTTAGCGGGAACAAGGAAGCTGGCACATCATATTAAATTTCTGTAGATATCAACCATGTGTGCATACCTGGCACATAAACTGGGGAATCACTCGGTGGAAAGACGACCCCTTGAAGTGAAGAAGCTTACCGGACTTGCCCATACCCTTCTCACCTGTACAACAATTATTACGACAAGTGTTTTCATGTAGTGACAAACTTCGCGAGTGACTACTTAAATATCAGTTACATGACAATTAGCTCACATACCAGTGCACAGACAGCGGAAGTTCTCAGCAGTCTTGGGCGTGACGTCAGCATAGAGCTGCAGAACCAGAAGGAAAGAAATTTAGTTAGTCATACCGCAGCAGGCAGCAAGATGAGCTGTGCAAACCACGGCACTGGTTCTCACCTCCATCTCGATGCGACCAGTCGGAACGCCGCCGATGGTGATATCGAAGAAGACTCTGGGGTTGGCCATGTCTGATAAAAGCTGGTGGATCTGCAAAAATTCAGGTAAGACTCCGATTTCTTATAACCGCGCGACAAATCCAATAGATGTGCGGGCAAAATGCTACCAGCAGAAATTCTTCGACCAAGGATCTACTACAGATGCTTACACAGAAGAGGACTGAAGAAGATGCAGTACAAGAGGGCCAGAATGTGGAGAGAGATGGTTTAACGGCGAGGATGAAATGTAAGGCACAAAAACAAATATGGATTCCCTGTGTTGGAGGCAGCTGGGGGTTCAGTCAGCCACCTTCGTGGAGGAGGAAGATTTTCTCTTGGAGCTGGTGATGACGTGGCAATCTCCATTTCATTTGGAGGGTATCGGAAGGACGTGGCGTCAAGCGAGGGGAAATGAGCTGGGAATGGCGCGCCAGCGTTGCATGCGGTTTTCAAGGGAAATCAGCTTGTAGAAGATCTCCTTGCCGAAACAGCCTTCTACACTGCGCAAATTGATACCCAGGCAGTAAAGTTATGTCTATACATTTTAGACATGTTGCAGCTCTCATTTAGATTCTTATCTATTGTAAGGAAAATTCCTTTTCCTTACTTCGCATCCCTGCTCAACGCGTACATCACTGTAGAACCACAGTCAGCACCGTTACCACTCGCAACCCTCACTTCGACAATCCGCCCGCCACCTTTCGCACATCGCACCCCGACCTCACGGCTCGGCGGGTAACCCGCGCTACGGGCAACCCGCGCTAGGGGCCTCCGCTTCGACACTTTTTCCCAACCTCAGTCCCAGGCCCGTCGCGCGACAGCTACGATCCATTACCGTTACCACTGTAGTTTCACTATATATTCTTCGCGCATGCCTTCGCTCATTGTACACTTGCTTCGATAGTGCAATTCTCGTTCGTTCACTCAATTGCACTCGTAACACTTGGTATTCAGAGCCTACGATCTCCTCTCGGACCGCACCCACACCTTCGCTTCCCCTCTATCTCAAATTCCTTTTCCTTACTTCGCATCCCTGCTCAACGCGTACATCACTGTAGCACCACAGTCAGCACCCTTACCACTAGCAACCCTCACATCGACAATCCGCCCGCCACCTTTCGCACATCGCACCCCGACCTCACGGCTCGGCGGGTAACCCGCGCTACGGGCCTCCGCTTCGACACTTTTTCCCAACCTCAGTCCCAGGCCCGTCGCGCGACAACTACGATCCATCGCCGTTACCACTGTAGTTTCGCTATATATTCTTCGCTCATGCCTTCACTCATTGTACACTTGCTTCGATAGTGCAATTCTCGTTCGTTCACTCAATTGCACTCGTAACACTTGGTATTCAGAGCCTTCGATCTCCTCTCAGACCGCACCCACACCTTCGCTTCCCCTCTATCTCAATTTTTGGGGGGGGTAGACGTCTCTCAGCGACACAGCACCGCCACTCGTAGTGCTCTCTCGTAAGCACGCACGGCCACGATCGAGGCTCTCGCTGAGCTCGCCCGACACCCCCGCCATGGCTGAATTCACGCTCGCCACATTGACGCAGAAGCAGCTCGACCATCTGGTGCGCCAACTCGAAAATTCGGCGCTCGAAATTGCGACGCTCACGGCGGAACGTGACTTCGCGCGTCAGCAATCAACGATGAACACTCCAGCGCCACCACACGCACCGACAAATGCATCTGCACAATCAGACGAGCCGATCGTCATCTCTTCCGGCACACCAACACAAAACAACAGCGTGGGACAGCGCTTAGGCGCAACCAGCGATGGCGCCGCCCAGCCGATGCCTGGCATGGGAGGAAACAGGGTCGCACCAAGCCCGCGGGAGCCTCGCAAAGCCCGTTGGCACGTGGAGTTCGCGACGACAAGTGGCGAACAGGCCATTATGGCACCAATGCCACTCAACCCGCAACGCCCGCCCTGCTTCGACCCGAGCCAGCGTGGAGGTCCGACGGTTCAATCGTGGGTCTTCACGATGAACGTCTTCTTCAACGCGAATTACGTCGAGTCGAATGCAGCGAAGATTCGGTATGCCGTTTCGCTGCTGAGGGGCCCCGCCATGGATGAGGAAAGTTGAACGAGAATGGAAGTGATACAAATATGCAATCCTAGAAAATGTGTACCCCATGTAGGCTACCCCACTATAGCCTACACAATATTATAACTTGACACACCCCCATAGGCAAAGTGGGGGAGAACAAGGGGTCACAAGACCAGT